GATGCAACAAGTTTTTCACACCTGGATTTGGGGATCCTCTGCCATTCCTCCTTTATTTATTTAAATAATAGCCCGAAAAGCTGAAGAATGCAGCGAGATATTCATTTCTCTTACTGTAAACATTTGTCAGATGTGTTTCATAAATATTTTTAAACTTAATGTGGTTGTATTTTCGAACTCACAGAAGAAATGGCAATGCTAAAGGAGAGTGCGCTTCTCCTGCAGACCACGTGAGGGCGCTGTGATGACAGAGCAGAGCAGAGCAGAGCAGAGCAGAGCAGCGCGTGGTGAAGTGCTCTTGCTTTAGTCTCCGCCTCTGCCAGCACCACCGCGGATGACGTCGAACAACAAAGATGGCGGGAGGAAACAGCAACTACTGGGAAGGTGAGGTGGCAAAGCGTTACAAATTCTGCGCGACCCAAAGCTTTATTGCGGGTTGTGACAGCTCACGCCGATTCCTTGTTCTGAACAATCGTTGGCGACGTTTCCGTGAAAACGCAGCCAGGTTACCGCGTTAACTATCGCCGTTAGCATTAGCTCGCTAGAATTACCTGGAACAATTGTACCAGGAACTTTTTTTACCCGCCCAGACCTGTTGCTGTCTGCGTTTCCATCACGGTCTAAAGTACTGAGAATAATAGGCAAATAGTCTGGTGAGGTAGGTCTGCGCTCGTTTCAATACCAAGTACGCAAATTTCGGACTTGCATCCTCAGTAGTTCGGACTTCGCAAGTTCGACTCAGGAGTGTGAACTCCCGCGGATGGGACGACACGAGTCCGGGAAACGGCAGCGTACTTGATAACATCAGTCAGCTCACCTTGGCTACTTCAATTTTCCTCACTGTATTTACAATAAGACGAAGTATATCAAACACCACTGCCCCTTTTCGTTTTCATTTAAACATATTAATAGCCGCAGAAATGTTCAGGGAACGTACATGGCCTACATTACAATGAAACGAAATATTTGATCAAACATTGCCTGTTTTCATTTTAATTTTAACATATTAATAGATTAATTGAATAAAGACCAAAGATTACCTGTTAAGATTTACCCAAAATGAATGATATCTTATGTTTATCCACTACAGAGACATCAGAGCCAGTGGCAAATGTCAGAAGGACTAAATGTCAGGAGTTGAGGTTGCTCTCGTCGGGGTACATGAGCACTGAGCGCCGGCTGATCGATGAGCTCCCGTTTCCGAAATCGGCGAAGCACATTTTCAAATAGGCGCTGTTTTTATAAATAAACAGCAGATTTGAGTTTTAAACAACTACATTCTCTCCTGAAATACTTTTAAAGATACATTTCATGACACAATAACAGTAATATAAAACATTTTTTTAAATGCAAATGGTGGTTGAAATACAATGCTGCGTGAACTCAACCAGTCAGCCTGTTCAGAGCTCAAGTCCCGCCCCTGAAAGTTCCGGACCTTTGAAAAAGTACTACCTCGCGAATAGGGACTTTCTGAGGGGCAATTTTTTACCCGGAACTTTATTTAGATCCTGGTGCCTTAGATGAGTAAATAAGTACACTGTTTGTTTAATTTGAATTAATTCATTTATTTTACACATTATTAATTATATTATTTACTTATAGTTTTGTCTCACTTCGTTCCTGTGTTTTAAAGCTTACCGGGGTGAATGACAAGATGGCTGAGTATACAAGCACACCAGGAGTAACGTCTCTGAACGCTGCTCTAATGCACACTCTCCAGAGGCACAGAGACATCCTACAGGTTAGTTTCTTGTCATTTATAATCTCGTCTCATTTGAACACAGTAATTTACATGATTGTCCTTAAACAGCTGGCTGCCCAATTATTAATATACGTGTACTGTACACCACTGTTCAAAAGTTTGGGGTCAGTAAGATATTTATTTATTTTGTTTAAGAAATTAATGCTTCTATTTAGCAAGGTTGCCATGAATTGATTAAAACGGACCATAAAGACAATTATGTTATAAAATGTATCTATTTCAAATGTTTTATTTTCTTTTGATTAGTCGAAGACTCCTGAAAAAAATTGTATAACTGTTTCCACAAAATATTAATGTTGCAACATTTTCAACATTGATAATAAAAATAAATCTTTCTTGAGCACTAAATCAGCATATTAGAATGATTTCTGAAGGATCATAAAGGATGGAGTAATGGCTGCTGAAAATTGCATAAAATGTTACGATAGAGCACAGTTATTTTAAGTTGCAATAATATTACAGTTTTTTCTCTATTTTGATCAAATAAATGCAGCCTTGGTGAACATAAAATACTTTGTTTATAAAGATTAAAAAAATAACAACCCCAAACTTGCAAATAGTGTACTTATTATGAAGACTGTATTATCACGAGGAAAGGGCAGTTCATGTATTTGACATGAATATAGCTGACCTAGCTTGTTATTTATAATCCCTTCGTCTCTGTTTTCCTTATCTAGGACTACACGCATGAATTTCATAAAACCAAATCAAACTTCATGGCAATCAGGGAGAGAGAGGATCTTCTGGGATCTGTGAGAAAAGACATTGAGTGAGTTTTCTCTTTAATTTCCTTTTGAAACCAAAAAGGTCATGAACGCCAGTTCCATGTAATGTGTAATTAACCTGTATTATGAAACCTTTTATGTGTAATGAAAATTCTCTCCAAACACATGGTTTCTGTTCACCGTTCAAGCTGTTAGTCTGTTCTTTATATCTCCATGCTGTTTCATCCAAGAGCAAAGTTAAATTCAGGCCCTGATGAAATCTTTACATTTCTTTCTCACATTTTCTGTGCTGATTGCGAAGGAAAATTAGTGGAATTCTTCTGAATGGATTTAAAAACATGCTAAACCAATATGAGAATATTACACTCTTATTTTACTATATTTAATAAATAAATACATAAAGACCATGCACGCTTTCTGTGAAGTTCTGCAGGCACAAATTTGTTGTGGTGCTGGTTGTAATCCTGAGATCGTGACTGCGGGGCTGAATAATGACTTATTGATTTGAGCCGCAATGCTCTAGCACCTCTATGGGCGGCTTATTTAATTTGTGTGTCTTGAAATAGTTGTTGTGGTACCATATTATGATGAGAAAAACTGCTCCATACTGCTTATTTTTTTGTCTAAATAAACTGACTGTCAGAATTGGATTTGAGCTCAATCCATCTCTTGCAGCATTGTTTATAAGGCCTGTATTTACACAAGTTATGGGTACGTCCCTTTCTGCTTCATCTTCAGCCACATTCCACTCACCTGACCAGCAAAAAACTTGTTTACCCAGTATAGAGAACAGCACGTCGGTAGATTTACTTCACTTGTGCATCAAATTGAGTGGGTTACACTTAGAATGTTGCACAGATTTGACCTAATCAGACAGTACTCTGATGAAATTATACTGTATATAACCCAGGAATAGAGCATTCTGATTATTAATATGCTGAACATACATTGTTTTACTACCGTTCAAGATTTAGGGTCAGTAAGATCTTTAAAAAATGATTATGAAAGACGTCTCTTGTGCTTACCAAGGCTGCATTTATTTGAT